AATTATGGTGGAAAATAAGTATTTGGTCAATAACAAAAGTTTCTCAATACTTTGTTATATACCCTTTGTTGGCAATGACACAGGTCAAACGTTTTCTGTAAGTCTTCACAAGGTTTTCACACACTGTTGCTGGTATTTTGGCCCATTCCTCCATGCAGATCTCCTCTAGAGCAGTGATGTTTTGGGGCTGTCGCTGGGCAACACAGACTTTCAACTCCCTCCAAAGATTTTCTATGGGGTTGAGATCTGGAGACTGGCTAGGCCACTCCAGGACCTTGAAATGCTTCTTACGAAGCCACTCCTTCGTTGCCCGGGCGGTGTGTTTGGGATCATTGTCATGCTGAAAGACCCAGCCACGTTTCATCTTCAATGGCCTTGCTGATGGAAGGAGGTTTTCACTCAAAATCTCACGATACATGGCCCCATTCATTCTTTCCTTTACACGGATCAGTCGTCCTGGTCCCTTTGCAGAAAAACAGCCCCAAAGCATGATGTTTCCACCCCCATGCTTCACAGTAGGTATGGTGTTCTTTGGATGCAACTCAACATTCTTTGTCCTCCAAACGCGACAAGTTGAGTTTTTACCAAAAAGTTCTATTTTGGTTTCATCTGACCATATGACATTCTCCCAATCCTCTTCTGGATCATCCAAATGCACTCTAGCAAACTTCAGACAGGCCTGGACATGTACTGGCTTAAGCAGGGGGACATGTCTGGCACTGCAGGATTTGAGTCCCTGGCGGCGTAGTGTGTTACTGATGGTAGGCTTTGTTACTTTGGTCCCAGCTCTCTGCAGGTCATTCACTAGGTCCCCCCGTGTGGTTCTGGGATTTTTGCTCACCGTTCTTGTGATCATTTTGACCCCACGGGGTGAGATCATGCGTGGAGCCCCAGATCGAGGGAGATTATCAGTGGTCTTGTATGTCTTCCATTTCCTAATAATTGCTCCCACAGTTGATTTCTTCAAACCAAGCTGCTTACCTATTGCAGATTCAGTCTTCCCAGCCTGGTGCAGGTCTACAATTTTGTTTCTGGTGTCCTTTGACAGCTCTTTGGTCTTGGCCATAGTGGAGTTTGGAGTGTGACTGTTTGAGGTTGTGGACAGGTGTCTTTTATACTGATAACAAGTTCAAACAGGTGCCATTAATACAGGTAACGAGTGGAGGACAGAGGAGCCTCTTAAAGAAGAAGTTACAGGTCTGTGAGAGCCAGAAATCTTGCTTGTTTGTAGGTGACCAAATACTTATTTTCCACCATAATTTGCAAATAAATTCATTAAAAATCCTACAATGTGATTTTCTGGATTTTTTTTTCTCAATTTGTCTGTCATAGTTGACGTGTACCTATAATGAAAATTACAGGCCTCTCTCATCTTTTTAAGTGGGAGAACTTGCACAATTGGTGGCTGACTAAATACTTTTTTCCCCCACTGTATATGTATATATTGTTAATCCCATTCCTTACTTAGATTTGTATGTATAGGGTATATGTTGTGAAATTGTTAGATATTATGTGTTAGATATTACTGCACTGTTGGAGCTAGAAGCACAAGCATTTCGCTACACCCGCAATAACATCTGCTAAACATGTGTATGTGACAAATACAATTTGATTTGATTTGAATGCACTCACATTCTGGATAAGACTAAAAGCTAAATGAACAAAATGTAAACTTTAACTTGATGGAAATAAAAATTTTTGAAAGGCCAAGTGATATGCATGACCCGAAAAAGAAACAATAATTTACCTTTGAACTTTGACTATGCCCACAGTCCATGTTCATATGCTAGTCGGAACTAGGAAACTCGGAAATGTCTGACTTGCTAACTGGTTGAACGCGGAACTACGACCAGTTAAATCGGTAATTCCCGACTAGAACGTGAACGCCGTACAAATTGCAAATTTGGCGATTTTTGGCGGGCGAAAACGCTACATCCGGGACAGCAAGGCAAATTACTGTTTTCAATTTGGGCACCCAGCGAAAATACATTGCTCAAAAAAATAAAGGGAACACTTAAACAACACAATGTAACTCCAAGTCAATCACACTTCTGTGAAATCAAACTGTCCACTTAGGAAGCAACACTGATTGACAATACATTTCACATGCTGTTGTGCAAATGGAATAGACAACAGGTGGAAATTATAGGCAATTAGCAAGACACCCCCAATAAAGGACTGCTTTGCAGGTGGTGACCACAGACCACTTCTCAGTTCCTATGCTTCCTGGCTGATGTTTTGGTCACTTTTGAATGCTGGCGGTGCGTTCACTCTAGTGGTAGCATGAGACGGAGTCTACAACCCACACAAGTGGCTCAGGTAGTGCAGCTCATCCAGGATGGCACATCAATGCGAGCTGTGGCAAGAAGGTTTGCTGTGTCTGTCAGCGTATTGTCCAGAGCATGGAGGCGCTACCAGGAGACAGGCCAGTACATCAGGAGACGTGGAGGAGGCCGTAGGAGGGCAACAACCCAGCAGCAGGACTGCTACCTCCGCCTTTGTGCAAGGAGGAGCAGGAGGAGCACTGCCAGAGCCCTGCAAAATGACCTCCAGCAGGCCACAAATGTGCATGTGTCTGCTCAAACAGACTCCATGAGGGTGGTAGGAGGGCCCGACGTCCACAGGTGGGGGTTGTGCTTACAGCCCAACAGCGTGCAGGACGTTTGGCATTTGCCAGAGAACACCAAGATTGGCAAATTCGCCACTGGCGCCCTGTGCTCTTCACAGATGAAAGCAGGTTCACACTGAGCACGTGACAGACGTGACAGAGTCTGGAGACACCGTGGAGAACATTCTGCTGCCTGCAACATCCTCCAGCATGACCGGTTTGGCGGTGGGTCAGTCATGGTGTGGGGTGGCATTTCTTTGGGGGGCCACACAGCCCTCCATGTGCTCGCCAGAGGTAGCCTGACTGCCATTAGGTACCGAGATGAGATCCTCAGACCAGGGGCGGTGTGTTCATTAGGGCGATATGGGCGACGCACTGCCAAACGGGAAAAGGAAGGGATTTTTTTTCTAATCAATTATATCACGGCAACAGTAGTTATCAGTGTTCTAATCTAGACGTCTGATCTGCCACTAAATGTCCAATCAGGCTAAAGTCGTGCTTCAAATGTCCCCGCCCCTTTTGGGGCGATTTCAGTCAGGTTGAAAATCGCCCCAGAAGTCTCTCATAGACTCTCATGTAAAATCTTTTTTTTTCAAATATCAGAGCTTTCAATACAATCTCTATGGGTTCCGGGAGGGCTTGCACTTACGCGCTTTCGTCATACGTAACATAACCATGAACGTAACTAAGAAAAGAGCGGGTAGCAGCGTCAATCAATTCACGTACTACTGTCAAGATGGCTAGCGTTCAGTGCAACTCGATTGTCTCTTTGAAAGAAGTTCCTTTTTGTCGGCGAACAAATCAAGATAAATTGGCAACGAAACAATTAGGACCTCCCAGACCAAATTTAATAATTCAACAGGTTTCTACTAAAGGGGGAAAGTCCTACACCCGAGGATTTTCTAAAAATTGGTACGAACGAAAAACCTGGCTAGCAGGCTGCGATGTAGCTAATGCAGTCTTCTGCTACCCCTGCTTACTCTTTCACCCTGAAGGCGGCACGGCAGACAGCACCGCTTGGACAGCGACTGGTGTAATGGACATGCACCATCTTTCAGAAAAGATTAAGAAACATGAGCTGTCAAAGACCCACATGGATAGCTGTTTGAGATTGTCTGCTTTGGGGAGAGTGAACATTGCCACTCAACTGGATGAGGGATACAAGCTAGCTGTCCGCCGCCACAACGATGAGGTTAGCAAGAACCGCCACATCCTCAGCCGGCTAATCCAGTGTGTGAAGTTTTGCGGAGTGTTTGAGTTAGCTTTGCGAGGCAAAGATGAAACTGAGGGCTCCACCAACCCTGGTATTTTTCTTGGACTTGTCAACTTTGTGGCACAATTAGATGAGGGGTTTTATGGAAATGCATATTGTTTATGCAGTGTTGAGGAATGTGAAAGAACACCCTTGATTATTTTTACTGTGATAACTTATTTTGCTTTTGTAAGCCAACACTTTTGAGATCAGTCAATAAATGCTTCTGGTATTGACTTATATGCTGCCCCTGTCTTCATGTTGTTGCTGGACATATCTTTTTTTAAATGTGTGTAGGTCACCTAAATCATCAGAAAAATTGCCCCCCCTGAGAATTTTTTCAGGAGCCGCCACTGCCTCAGACCCCTTGTGAGACCATATGCTGGTGCGGTTGGCCCTGGGTTCCTCCTAATGCAAGACAATGCTAGACCTCATGTGGCTGGAGTGTGTCAGTAGTTCCTGCAAGAGGAAGGCATTGATGCTATGGACTGGCCCGCCCGTTCCCCAGACCTGAATCCAATTGAGCACATCTGGGACATCATGTCTCGCTCCATCCACCAACGCCACGTTGCACCACAGACTGTCCAGGAGTTGGCGGATGCTTTAGTCCAGGTCTGGGAGGAGATCCCTCAGGAGACCATCCGCCACCTCATCAGGAGCATGCCCAGGCGTTGTAGGGAGGTCATACAGGCACGTGGAGGCCACACACACTACTGAGCCTCATTTTGACTTGTTTTAAGGACATTACATCAAAGTTGGATCAGCCTGTAGTGTAGTTTTCGACTTTAATTTTGAGGGTGACTCCAAATCCAGACCTCCATGGGTTGATAAATTTGATTTCCATTGATAGTTTTTGTGTGATTTTGTTGTCAGCACATTCAACTATGTAAAGAAAAAAGTATTTAATAAGATTATTTCATTCATTCAGATCTAGGATGTGTTATTTTAGTGTTCCCTTTATTTTTTTGAGCAGTGTATATGGGGGATTGTGGGCGGGTGAGCGCCGAGAACCCTGCTAGTGGAACTAAAAAGTTGAGCTCTGCTCTACTTTATGCAAATTTCAAGCGGAGCAAAGCATTGTCAAGAGGAGGCGCCACCTCTGGTCAAAACCCTACGTTAGCTAGCTAATGCACTAAACCTATGGCTCCAATGGGAATCCGTTTTGGAGTGGCCGTGTTTTGCTTATTGTGACTCAGCGTGATCTACCACCTATATGCTGGAGTGATATCCAGCCGGATAGCTGCTTACACTTCCAAGAGAACCGTGGACCTCCGTGACCTGCTTGCGCTGTCAGTAGAGGCTGCAGTTCTGGGCGGTCGCGAGGTGAAGAGAGTCCGAGAAGAGAACACTTTAGAAGAGAAGACCAAGGGGAAAAGCTCACTCTGGCGGACTTGAACTCTCACAGACAGATGTAACATTACTACCTTATCAAGAACACCTATCCATATGTACAGGTAAGGAGGACGTTATTGGACCTCAAATAGATACTATTTATGTTAATCAATAGAGACATGAGTAGCTTGTTGATGCTCTCACTTAGCTATGTACCACAAATTGTTCTTTACTTAGTGATTCATACAACAACTGATAGTAGTTCCATTGACTACCGGTAAGTAAACAATATAAGATTATGGTACACCACTAGCCTATGCCCCAGAGAGTTGTAATATAATCAAAGGCACACCCTTATTTGCCCTTGCGAAGTATCTCAGCTCTTCGATGATTTTATCCACGGAGTTGAGCGCCGACTAGAGTTTTTTTAATGAACTTCCGACTCGCTATGCAGTCAATACTTAAAACATTTCAGATCTTAAACCCGTACTTTGTACCTATGGTTGTCCTCTGTTGTTGTGTGCCTTCCTTTGTTTGCTGAAATCCATACTTTTTCATAAAAAGTAAGCGTTTAATAATTTTCATTATCGACTGCATAAAAACTCAATGATGAAATCATCGTGGAGTTGAGGTAATATGGCAATATTTGCCCCTTTATTTTACAGCATCAATCACCATAATAGGCATTGGTCTCTCTTTTAGGTTGTCAATGGCATCCCTACTAACATAACCACGTGTCTAACAGGACAGCCTTAGTCTTCATAGTATTCATAATGTGTTTTACAAGCTGATGTGTAATAATGTGTTCTGTCCCCTTGCAGGTGAACTCTGAAGAGCATGATGAGACATCCCAGCTGACATTTTGCAAAGCATGGAGGGGGCAGGGAGGTGCCTGCCGACAGCATCACCGTCTGGATAGACCCCCTGGACGCCACTCAGGAGTACAAAGGTATGGTATTGTGCAGAAATCCACTCTCAAGGCTTGCATTTTTACAGGAGTACACACTGGTATGGATGGACTGGATCACATAAGTCTGCCCTCAGGGCAGCTTTTGACCATTCAATGTTTTGGCCAAATGCAGAGCCTTTCAGGGCTCCAATGTGAATGTTAAATGCCATGTCAAAATGGGGCCCTACTGTCAAAACAATATGGAGGCCAACAGATGGGCTAGCTTTCACCAGTCTTGTTGTTCCGGTGTTCAATGTAGATAAGGACAATGAAAAGAAGACAATTTAGACACAGCCTAAGAGTGAGCTCCACTGCTCTTTATGTGGGTGTTTCAAATGAGACTGGGGTTGTTACCTAGACTCTGGTACAGTGTAGCCAACTTGTAGTGTCCTGTTTCCTGAGCAGTGTTCTGTTTCCTAAGCTGTGTCCTGTTTCTTGATCCCATTGTTTTCTCTGTATCCCTTTGACAGAGAACCTGCTCAAGTATGTCACGACCATGGTGTGTGGCTGTCGATGGGAAACCTGTCATAGGCGTGATCCACTAACCTTTCACAGGATACACAGGTGTGTCACTCCCCCTCAATGGTTTAAAGCATTGGATTGGTGAGTAGACAAAATGTCTACCATATTTTCTACACCAGTCTAGTGCTTTTACATCTGTGAGGGGAGTGAACGAGTGCAAGTTTTGGAGAGAAGGGGGGCGAGACATAATTAGGGCTCAGGACAGAGCAACACTGTTCTACTGAATGAAATACCAGTGAGTGGACTGTTGACAGCTAGTGGTGGAGAGTCTACTCCAAAAGAGTAGATTCCTCAAACTCCTTGACCACCTGCCTTGGCAGCTAGGCTGACGTAGGCTACTGATTAGCCTTGAATATTTTGCTTAGTGGAGATTGTCAGATGGCTCCATATGCATTGCTACTCAATCAGCCAGTTCATTAGTGTGCGTGCACACACTCTGACATTGCAGCTGTAGCTAATTTTAGCTAGTCTTTGTCTGTTTTGTCAAATTTGAGTCTGTCGAGAGATTGTCGACTCCGTTAGCAAGAGTCGGAGTCGACTCCAAAAATCCTCGAGTCGTTCACCACTAGTGACATCAGGGGCTAAGTCACTCCTTTGAGACATCACCCAGGAGGGGAGGTCACTATAAGGTGGCTTCGTTGGTGAATGGCTGCATTGTGTCCTGATGGTACAGGAGGCATAGACTGGCCATAGAGCACAGCTCTGCTATTCAGGTGTCCAGTCAAGGCCCAAAGCAAATTATTTCATTTTAACCTCTAATCAGGATTTAGACCTGGGATACTTACACAGGCAGCCCAATTCTTATATTTTTCCCACTGTCTTTTGACCAATCATGTCACATCTTTTTCACATCAGATCTTTTTCAGAGCTGTTCTGATTGCGGAAAAGACCAATTAGAAAGATCAGAATTGGGCTGCTTGTGTAAATGGTTTCATCAAGGAGGCCTTTGGGAACACAATAGTCATCCTCCCAGCAGGGGGCGCATGTACGGCATTTTGTGTGTGTGTGTGTGAGAAAATAGTTCACCCAAATGTATAATTTCTTAATCATTATCTGGCCATGGAAGTAGTCTATTGGGCGAGCCGTGAAATCGTCATACGATTAGGCTTTCATTTGCCATTTATTTATAAGTATACCTATTTCTATTTTGTTTTAGAAGCATACCTATTTCTGTGGGCTTCAGTTTTTTTATATGTGTTATATGATTGGAATATCACCCTGTCAGGTATTTACACAACTTATTTCACTGTTTTGTGGGTGATGATCTTGTATTTTCCAATCTCCATAGGCTATAAGGTGCTGGCTTTGCTGGACCCCAGTGATGAGGACATTGAGAAGGCTGACATGTACATCCACGTGACCTTCATCAAGAAGTGGGACATCTGTGCCGGCAACGCCCTGTTCACAGCCCTGGGAGGTCACATGACCACGCTGAAGGGCAAGGAGATGGACTACTCGGGCGCGGCGTGCAACACGGGCAGTCTGCTAGCCAGCGTCAAGGTGGACCACCAAGCCCTGGTGGAGAAACTGCCGGCATGGGACTCTGCTGACAAACACACACACATAGATATTTACACTCACTCCCATATGTGCATACACATGCACACAGATGATCAAGGACAAACAGACAAGATGACCACAAGCCTTGAAGACCAAACAAACCCAGACGAGAGGACCGCACAATCTGGGACAAGACAATAATGCAATATATTACAAAGCCCACCAGTTTCTCCTTCTATCTCCTTTCACTATTTTGGATAAGGAAAAGCCATGTGCTCAACAGTTTGTTGCTAATAGATGGGTGCCTTTGATTGACATGAAACCTTTGTCAATGCCTAGTGTGAAAAGGAACAAATGTGTTGGAGCGCTCTATAGTTGTCATTATTTTTACACCTGTGGGATATGATTGCTGGTGAAGGTACAGGGATGAATCAATTTGATTTTTCTTAATAGAAGCTATTTTCATTGTAGCACAATAACCTTGATCCTGTGAATAGGTTTCTTCTTTTAGTTGCTCATTCCTACAGAGCATTGAAATTACGCTAGGCAGGGTAACTATGAGGGGATCATTTGTTTAACTATAGCTTAACACATTACATAATAGGGGCGGGATTTGGGCTGCTACAATGTGAATTGAATTTGAGGGTCTGAATGGTTGTTTTTAAAAGCATGGTACTTCCTTCATATTCACATAGGTTTTAGTGTACATTTGTGGTCAAAAGTTCTGAGTGACACAAGTATTGGTCTTCAAAGTTCGCTGTTTCAGTGTTGAGATATTTTTGTCAGATGTTACTATGGTATACTGAAGTATAATTACAAGCATTCCATAAGTGTCAAAGGCTTTTATTGACAATTACATTAAGTTTATGCAAAGAGTCAATATTTGCAGTGTTGACCATTATTTTTCAAGACCTCTGCAATCTGCCCTGGCATGCTGTCAATTAACTTCTGGGCCACATCCTGACTGATGGCAGCCCATTCTTGCATAATCAATGCTTGGAGTTTGTTAGAATTTGTGGGTTTTTGTTTGTCCACCCACCTCTTGAGGATCGACCACAAGTTCTCAATGGGATTAAGGTCTGGGGAGTTTCCTGGCCATGGACCCAAAATGTCGATGTTTTGTTCCCCGAGCCACTTAGTTATCACTTTTGCCTTATGGCAAGGTGCTCCATCATGCTGGAAAAGGCATTGGTCGTCACCAAACTGTTCTTGGATGGTTGGGAGAAGTTGCTCTCGGAGGATGTGTTGGTACCATTCTTTATTCATGGCTGTGTTCTTAGGCAAAATTGTGAGTGAGCCCACTCCCTTGGCTGAGAAGCAACCCCACACATGAATGGTCTCCGGATGCTTTACTGTTGGCATGACACAGGACTGATGGTAGCGCTCACCTTGTCTTCTCCGGACAAGGTGTTTTCCGGATGCCCCAAACAATCGGAAAGGGGATTCATCAGAGAAAATTACTTTACCCCAGTCCTCAGCAGTCCAATCCCTGTACCTTTTGCAGAATATCAGTCTGTCCCTGATATTTTTCCTGGATATAAGTGGCTTCTTTGCTGCCCTTCTTGACACCATCCTACAAAAGTCTTCACCTCACTGTACGTGCAGATGCACTCACACCTGCCTGCTGCCATTCCTGAGCAAGCTCTGCACTGGTGGTGCCCCCGATCCCGCAGCTGAATCAACTTTAGGAGATGGTCCTGGCGCTTGCTGGACTTTCTTGGTCGCCCTGACGCCTTCTTCACAACAATTAAACCTCTCTCCTTGAAGTTCTTGATGATCCGATAAATGGTTGATTTAGGTGCAATCTTACTAGCAGCAATATCCTTGCCTGTGAAGCCCTTTTTGTGCAAAGCAATGATGACGGCACGTGTTTCCTTGCAGGTAACCATGGTTAACAGAGGAAGAACAATGATTTCAAGCACCACCCTCCTTTTAAAGCTTCCAGTCTGTTATTCTAACTCAATCAGCATGACAGAGTGATCTCCAGCCTTGTCCTCGTCAACACTCTCACCTGTGTTAACGAGAGAATCACTGACATGATGGCAGCTGGTCCTTTTGTGGCAGGGCTGAAATGCAGTGGAAATGTTTTTTTGGGGATTAAGTTCATTTTCATGGCAAAGAGGGACTTTGCAATTCATTGCAATTCATCTGATCACTCTTCATGACATTCTGGAGTATATGCAAATTGCCATCATCAAAACTGAGGCAGCAGACTTTGTGAAAATTTAGTATTTGTGTCATTCTCAAAACTTTTTACCATTACTGTACTACTGTATGTATGTGAAAGTACAATTTCCACATTTGTAAAAAATGAAGATCATCTGTGTGAGCCTTCCTGCCTCTCCACCTCTGGGAAAAAGCTATACAGTGTGTTAAATCCATATGTGGCTAGTGTAGTCGCTATATTTGGAAATAAGAAACCATTCTGTTGAAGGTATGTTACAATAAAAAATACTTTGATTATTAGGTAAACATGCTAATTTATCAATATTTTTGAGATGTTTATTAATGATGATTTGTCCATATACAGTAGGGGTGTTCAGATTCACAGTAGACCATTCAGACATGGATATCCCTGCTCTAGCACACTAGCACTGTGAATACTAAGGCTGAATGTCAAACCGACCACTTTGAGCACTCCATTACACTCTCACTCAGGAGTCAATCTCAAACGCTAGTTGGCGAGTCATGGAGGGCTCCACTGCTCCCTTCGGAAGCCTCACTATCATGTGGGCATCCTGTGCCGACTTGGTGCCCTTGGCATGGGATTCTTCCCATGAATCTGTCACCAATGAACTACAGTCATTACTTCTTTGCCCTCAAAAATAGAATAAGTAAACATAAATTGAAAGAAAATCTTAATTTTGGAATATTGATAAGTGGCAGTTGGGACGTTGAGTGCACATCGTCTCAATGCTCATTTAGGCCTAAACATTTGCAGACTCTAGTGATCACTATCGAACACATGCAGCAAGTGGCCAATCGATAGAGGGCTCAGGGGCCAAGTGTTCAGTTTGAGATTCAACTTAATTGTCCAACTGTGCTTTCTCAAAATGATGACTATTTTTATACAGCATGAGTGTATGTTGTGCATCTGAACTGGATGTGTGTATGTTAAGCCTGTACATGTAGCTGTCATGATGTAACTGTCTCTCTCCAACTCTGTGTTTTAAATGAAGTGGTGCTGTGCATGAAATCAGTGACTGGGTTATGACTACTTCATACGTGATCTAGATTGTTTGATGTGTGGTGTTACTACTACTACTACTACATGCATTAATGGTTATGTTGCACTGTTGATGAGAATTACAGGTTCAAAGCTATCCCTGTCTATTAATTTAACCCTTTGCTATAAGTACTGGTCATGTTTTGAAAAGATAATGTATTTTTGTGAAGGGATTACAGCAAAATAAAGAAATGTTACAAACATGTCTTCCATAAAGTAGTTCCACTCAATGTAAGGTGGAATCCAACAACTGAATAACAACTCAGTGTAAAACCATAAAAAAGGCCAAAATACAGTAGAATGGGGACTGTTTTACCAGAAGATGGAGAGATTTACATGCCCATTCTGTTTATCAAACGAAATTGGTTTAGCTGAGTTCTCAGTGGACTGGAGTCCATCTATTTTATGACCCTATTGTTGTTCAAGGTTGAACTCTGTATTTAAGTAGCAGATCTTACCATAACCCTGTATAGGCACACAATCACATGACGTGCCATGGTAAAACTAAACTCATGAATGACCCAAACAACAGCTATTCACTTACGAAGTCCTACCTTCCAGCACCCATCTCTGGTTTATGAGGCACAGACTACCATTTTTCAATTTACACACCAAACCCCAACCCACGCACGCCCTCTGAACCCTGGCTCGCTTTTAAGTGCTTTCATTCTCTGCTTCCACAATAGCCCTCGAATGGAACAAGTTAATTAGAAACTGCTGTGATGACAGGTTGTCTTAAAATGTGCCCAAAAATATGAATAGAGTGGATTTGCATGGAATGGATTGACTGTGAATATCAGAAGCACTCAATTTTTCTTCTTGCCATGTCTGAAATTGAGCAAGATTAATGTCCTTTTAAATAAATTAATTTGTTGAATTAAATTGGTTGGTTTTTCATACCCTTTTTGGACCGAAAGAGTGGTTTATCTACTGTGATTTTGTTCATACAGTGATGGTAACTTTTTGGGTGGATAAAAAGTACAATTGTCATCAAAGTTTAATCGAAACAACTTTCCTGTAGAGGTAAAAGGCTTCTTTCTAGCTTGGTCTCTCTGTCTCTGTCTCTGTCTTGTCTCTGTCTACATCTCTCGACTCTCTCGTCTCACTGTCTGTCTCTCTCTCATCTCTGTCTCTCTCTCTCTCTCTCTCTTTTCTCTCTCTGTCTCTCGTCTCTATGTCTCTGTCTCTCTGTCTGTCTCTCGTCTCTGTCATCTCTCTGTCTATATCTCTCTCGTATCGGTCTGTCTCTCTCTGACTCTCTCTCCCATTGTCTCTCTATGCAGCTACAGTGGGGGAAAAAAGTATTTAGTCAGCCACCAATTGTGCAAGTTCTCCCACTTAAAAAGATGAGAGGTCTGTCATTTTCATCATAGGTACACGTCAACTATGACAGACAAATTGACAAAAAAAAATCCAGAAAATCACATTGTAGGATTTTTAATGAATTTATTTGTAAATTATGGTGGAAAATAAGTATTTGGTCACCTACAAACAAGCAAGATTTCTGGCTCTCACAGACCTGTAACTTCTTCTTTAAGAGGCTCCTCTGTCCTCCACTCGTTACCTGTATTAATAGCACCTGTTTGAACTTGTTATCAGTATAAAAGACACCTGTCCACAACCTCAAACAGTCACACTCCAAACTCCACTATGGCCAAGACCAAAGAGCTGTCAAAGGACACCAGAAACAAAATTGTAGACCTGCACCAGGCTGGGAAGTCTGAATCTGCAATAGGTAAGCAGCTTGGTTTGAAGAAATCAACTGTGGGAGCAATTATTAGGAAATGGAAGACATACAAGACCACTGATAATCTCCCTCGATCTGGGGCTCCACGCAAGATCTCACCCCGTGGGGTCAAAGTGATCACAAGAACGGTGAGCAAAAATCCCAGAACCACACGGCGGGACCTAGTCAATGACCTGCAGAGAGCTGGGACCAAATTAACAAAGCCTACCATCAGTAACACACTATGCC